ATCGATCAAAAGACAGTGTCATTAAATGCTAGTATTTATGGTATAATAAAACTCAATTCATGTTTGGCATTGGATTCCTGTGAGGGCCGGACAGTCGACATATTCCTTGTATGACTGGTGTTAGGAATGTAACGCACATTACATTACATTTTCATGACTTAACACTTGTTTTTGTAACAAATTTTAACGAGACTTTTAACATTTCAATTCATTCAACGTGTCTCACATTTTACTATAAATGGTATAGAATAGTATTTTCCCTCCAGATTTATAACACTAATATTAAAATATTTTAAGACAGAATTTCATTGAAAAATATAAACAAAATGAAAGTTAAACTGATAATAAATTTACACGTATGAAAAATACTATAGATAACCTTTAAAGTATTTCAAAAATCTGACCATTTTTAATACTTTTACAAATACAAAGTAAATATAAAGTAAGACAATACTGACCTCCTATACCGCCAAACCCTTTAACATATTGCGAGCCCTCTTGAGACCTATCGGTAATGATTTCAAGTGTTGCCCCGAATTGCTTATAATTATTAGCCAACCATTCGAGTAAAGGCATCGACTCTAACAGTTCTAACTCTACGCCCGTGTCTTTGTCTACGAAATGGCTTTTATCCTTTTCCTGGTCCGGAGTCAAGTGCAGGATCTTCTCCTCATTGGTGTTTGCGTTCTTCAGCATAAATCTCATGATATCCAGGTTTTCCCACGCGATCAGTATCTCAACGGAACCCATCTCTAGTGCTTTCAATGTGTCCTCCACTCCGAAGCAGTATTTGCCCGTGTCTTGAGATATCTCATCGAAATAACGACCTGTTTATGCAATCATTACAAACGAATGTGAGTGAGATATTTGGACATTAGTTGTGTTCACATTGAATACAAACCGATGAGTTTCTTCTCTTGAATAAACTTAACATTAGACAAGACTTCGGCCGATAATTCAATCGCTTGATTGAAGCCATTTTCGCCGCCATAAGAGACGTCCACTAGTTTTAATACTTTCACTTGAAGTCTCTGTTGGCAAACAGAAAACAAATCATTAG